CCAAGACCCCATCCCCCATGGCAAACAGCCAAGTGGCAGCTTGTTATGAGAGGTTCAGGGATTCGATCAGAGACGTAAAAGAAACTTTCCACTCCAAACAAATGGACTGAAGGTATATTTTATTATATAGAGGAAAGTAAATGCGATAGTCCACAAACAGATTCAAATAGGTCAAATATTGAGAGGGAAAAACATCAGCTCGACTGGAATGGGAAAACGTCCACATCGACTGAGCAGCAGATTCGAATAGATCATATAATGAGAGGGAAAAACATCAGATCGACTGGAAAGGGAAAACATCCACATTGACTGAAGGGAAATGACACAAATCAGTCAGAAAGAGAAACACCAGGTTGACCAAAAAGAGAAGACATCAGACTGGCTACTCACAACATCCACGCCCCACTGCCGGGGAGAATCTCTTCAATTGACATGGCTGGGCAGGAATCCGATCATCAGAGGTCCTGGGCTGGGCGTCCCCTCCACAGGTGAGGCTCTCACCAGGCCTCGGTTTCCAGCAGTTTACATAAGCAGTTACAGAGTTTACAATGCAAGCAGTGTTCCCATGCACAAATGGTTATCAGTGGCATACGTGCACTGAGCCCCCTGGCTATCGTCCCAGCCCGGCAGTTGTGTACGTGCATTGTTTTCCCTGGTTATCGTTCCAGCCTGGCACAGATGGCCAGTCTGCCCCAGGCTGCCATGCCTAAAGGACCTAGAAATTTTTACAAATTGCAACTGTCTCTGTGGGAGAAGGGCCAGTTCCCACCACACAGGAAGCAGATTTATATTTCTTTGTGTGCTGGTGGCTGTAGGTTCATGGAACGGCCAAACATGGCTATACTCATGTCAAGACACAGCTATAGAGGTCCCCCCACTTAGATTTCCCTTTAAGACTGAGCTTGCCATTCAGCTGCCAAGAATGCGGTTAGCTGACAGCCTCTGCCTGCAAAGCCTTCAGGATCCACCTTGGTTCCTTCTGAGTAGCCTCCAACCCATGACTGAGCACAATGAGGCACCTGGCATTTCTGTCTGGTATGAGAATTCGTGGCACCAATGACATGGTGGATAACAGCTACACAGCAGACCTAGAATGCAACTGACATTCCACCAAATATATGACACCATCAGTTTTAAAAAGCACGATTATTTTATATACCACTAAGAAAGACCAAACACTAAAAATTATCCTAAGACATTATAGATTTCCTAATTTCAGAAATGTTGAATAGTGAAGAAGTGTGGATCTTGGTGTCAATTAAATATGGTAGCTCAGATTGGAGGATTGGGGGCTCCAAGAGTTAAGTCCCTAAGAATAAAATGAAATCCATAGATTATCTGAAATATTTGAGCATTTAGGAAGGAACTTATTAATATGAGAGATCTGATGGAAAAATTAAAGATAATATCTAGAAAATTGAAAAGAAAAATGAGACAATTACAAACTCCAGGAAAAAACAAAGTTTTATGAGATAGGAATTATAATCATAGCACTCTTCTTGACTCTATAATGAAAAATACATATGTAATTATAATATAAATACTAATTTAATTAAAATTAAATGTGGTTTTACTATTTGGGGAGGATTAGAAGAGAACTGGAAGTTGGGGAAGTATGCAAGAGAGGTAAATTCTCATCTATTATTTCAAGAAGTTGATAAGAGCAGTATAAACATGCCACTTAAAAACATAATAAGAGGGGCCGGCCCGGTGGTGCAGTGGTTAAGTGCACGCACTCTGCTTTGGTGGCCTGGGGTTCACAGGTTCGGATCCTGGATGCGCACCAATGCACTGCTTGTCAAGCCATGCTGTGGCGGCGTCCCATATAAAGTAGAGGAAGATGGGCACGAATGTTAGCCCAGGGTCAATCTTCCTCAGTGGAAAAAAAAAAAAAAGAGGAGGATCGGCATTGGATGTTAGCTCAGGGTTAATCTTCCTCAAAAAAAAAAAAAACATAAAAAGAGATGAATGGGGGAAAAAGATTAATGATGGTGGAAGGGAAGGATATGGAGAAGAAGAAAATATCAACGATGACTACCAGGTTCCATTTATTAAAATAGGGACCACCAGGGGCTTAGCATCATACTGAGATTGAAGCGCTCCAAAGGCATCAATTTGCAAATATCAAGTAGGCAACTGGATACATGAGATTTCAAACTGGAGATCAGCTCAGAAAAGAGCTCTTGGCTAGAGATAAGAAATTGAAATTGGAAAAAAAAAAAAAGATGGTAATTGAAGCCATGGGAGTAGATGGCACTTCTCAGGAGGGTTTTTGATACTGGTGACTAGATGGAGAATTCCTAAGTGGAGGCGGAATGGAAGGCAGAGAGCAGCAAGTTGAGTACAAAGCAGGTGAGGAAAGGGAGACAGCTTTCAAAGGCCTCTTGGAGACCAAAGGCTTTTAACGTAAGTCAGTCAATTTCTTTATTTTTAAAGTTGCTCTTAATTTTAAGACTTTTTTTTAGAGCAGTTTTAGGTTTACCACAAAACTGAGAGAGAGGTACACAGATGTCCCATATATTGCCTGTCTCCACACATGCACAGCCTCCCCCATTATCAACATCACTCACCAGAGTGGTATATTTTTTACCAAGGATGAACCCACATTGATACAACATAATCACCCAAAGTCCACAGTTTACCTTAGGGTTCACTCTTGTGTTATACAGTCTATGGGTTTGGACAAATGCATAATGACATATAGCCATCATTATATTATCATACAGGGTCTTTTCACTGCCCTAAAAATCCTCTGTGCTCTGCCTATTCATCCCCACCCTGCCCACCCTTAGCAACCACTGATTTTTTTACAGTCTCCATAGTTTTGCCTTTTTCAGAATGTCATATAGTTGGAATCATACAGTATGTACCCTTTTCAGATTGGCTTCTTCTACTTAGTAACATGCACTTAAGGTTCCATGTCTTTTCATAGCTTGATAGCTCATTTCCTTTTAGGACCGAATAATATTCAATTGTCGGGATGTACCAGTTTATTTATCCATTCACCTACTGAAGGACATCATTGCTTCTGAGTTTTGGCAATTATGAATAAAGCTACTATAAACGTCCTTGCAGTTTTTTGTGTGGACATAAGTTTCAACTCCTTTGGGTAAATACCATAGAGTGTGACTGCTAGATCGTATGGTAAGAGTGTATTTAGTTTTTTAAGAAACTGCCAAACTCTTCCAAAGTGGCTGCACCATTTTGCATTCCCACCAGCAATGCACGCGAGTTCCTGTTGCTCCATATCCTGGTCAGCATTTGGTGTTGTCAGTGTTCCACATTCTGGCTGTTCTAATAGGTGTGTAGTGGTATCTTGTTAATTTGCATTTCTCTGATGACATATGTGGAGCATTAATTTTTTTTTACACTTTTTGCATAAAGTTTTTTTTTTCTTTTTTTATTGAATTTTCATTATATGTTCCTAATGCCTGTGAAGGTCATCTCCTGAGAGCAGACAAACGATAAAGGTCAATCATATTGAGTATATGATAGTTGGAAATGTAAGTGTACACAAAAATATGTGCAAGAACAAATGACACAGAGTAAGTGTTTTTATTTTGTCATCTACTCTCAAGATAAAACTTCACCAAAGACCATTTGCTCTCAGTTGGTCCCATTTTCTGCCTGTAACTTCCTAGCCTCCCTGAGCTCTAACCTCCACTCCTTTATGCCCACTCTCCATCTCCACTTTCTCTAGAGCTACAGGCTTCCTCCAAGAAGCACTTTCTTCCCTACACAACTAAGATCCATGGAGCATCATTTCAGTTACCCTCACTCTCAACTCTCTGGTCCTCTGCCCCACTTGCCTTGTATGTACTATGCCCGACTCTGGCTCAATCTACTTTCACATGTCTCAGAATTCTGAAATTACAGTGTTCAACTTCACTTAATGTTTTATTCCTGTTTGGAAAATTCCCTTATTGATTTTAAATATGCTTACTCTTTTCCCAATCTCCACATCCTTAAGGCCCTTACTCCACTCCTATCCCCCTCTCTCAACCACCTGTGAGTTAAAGACCTTGCTTCTTACTTTAAAGAGAAACCAAGGCATTGCTCACGCACTGAAGCCAGAAAGCTGGGCATAATCTTTTCCCTTTCTCAACACAATATCCAATCAGTTACCTTTTCAAATAATCTTAAAGTCTTTAGGGGAGAGAGGAATTAAAAATATATAATCAAATAGTTTAATAAATTTTTTACAGCAAAATAAAAACATACATTATTTTAAAAAGCCACATTCTACATTAAATACATTAAAATATTGATAATTTTATAAATAAAATCATTTTAAACAGTAAATACATGATAAAATTTCTCTGATACAAGGTTACGTACATATATTTCAATGACTGATTTTGAAAATATAAAAATTGCATCCTTCTTTTAAAAAACATTTAACTTAATGAGTTTTACAAAATTATCAAAAGTTAAAAAGTGCTAGATATGCTTCCATTTTGTTCCATTTTTAAAGCAATTATAGCACAACATCAGACCTTAAAAAAAGGTGAATTAGGGTATAAAGCTCATCCTATATTGCCTAAAAATGAAAACTTCAGAGACTTTCTAGGCAGTGGGAAAGGTTGGGAAGCCAATGAAGTTCAACGCCAGCAAAGGCTGTCACCTGCCCAGGGCTATTACCTGTCCTTGTTCTCAGAACCACGAGATTCCTCCTTCCTGGCCCACTCCTACAGAGGAGCCTTTTTATGCCTAATGGTTCCTAATTTTCAAGAGAAAAGGTTTCTGAAAGATTTTTTTTTTTTTTGGTGAGGAAGATTAGCCCTGAGCTAACATCTGTTGCCAATCTTCCTCTTTTCGCTGAGGAAGATTGGCCCCGGGCTAACATCTGCGCCCATCTTCCTCTACTTTATATGTGGGACGCTGCCACAGCATGGCTTGACAAGTGGTGCGTCGGTGCACGCCCAGGATCCAAACCTGCGAACCCCGGGCCGCCGACGCAGAGTGCTCATACTTAACCACTACGCCACCAGGCCGGCCCCCTGAAAGAATTTTGATATTTAAATCCTATGCCAATACTGAAACTCTTCTAAAGATTGAGGCATTTTGCATTTGAATTTTATAAAAAAAGTCATGAATCTTATTCCAAATGAAAAGAGGACACTTCGTTTGGTCACTTGATTTCATATCACTTGTAGAGGTAGGATAATTTTCTCCTCTCTCTGAAAACTGTCCTGACTATACAAATGATGGTTGTACTGGAAAGGGTTCTAATGCCTTTTCCACATTCTTCCAGTTGTGAAAATTCTCTCTGTACCACTCAACTGAAAGGAAAAAACAAAAGACAAAAATCAAAAATCAAAAACTAAAAACAAGATAACCAACACTTACTGAGTTCCTACTAAGTAAAAAAGTCTTGCCTGTCAGCTTATCAGCAGGTGAGAGTTGCTTAACAATGAAAGCAATTTGATTTTAAACTAACCAATGAAGTTAATCAGAAGATATTTCATCACCTGAAAACTTAGATTCAAATATCAACTTTTATTTTAACTTCAAAAGTCCTTCAATACTGAATTTGCTGGTATAAGTGTTTAAGACATTGTGATGCTAAGGAGTTCAGGAGGAAAGGGAGATAAGTCATTTGCACCAGTTTTAAAGTTACAGAAAAAAGTGTAATATTTTGTTCATGTAAATGTAGCAATACTACATTATAGGCATAGTGAGAAACTGTGAGCTTCCTTCTGTTAATATGTGAAATTATTTTATGTCACTACACTAAAACCTTTTTTAGTTAAAAAATGATAAATTTTCTTTGTATTTGCTTTTAAAATTCAACACAAATATTTTGTATTTCAAGGTCTGAATCAAGACTTTTTTCCCTACATTTGGGTATCTTTTACCATGAGTACATTTCTAAATAGAAGTTTAACATATATACACAGACTTTGTATACACTTATTTTAATGGATATTTCTAAATTTAATGCATATACTAAATTTGTTTCCTATTTGTTTGTTTCATTATGAAAAGACTCAAGACACTCAAAGACGGTGAACTGTCTATACTTCATCAAATCTAAGACGCCACTGATCTTACAGTGGACCATTATTTTACATACCACTAGGAAGGAAAAAATAGTTGCAATAATAATTATAAGACACTAGTGACTGTAAAACACATACCTTTCAAGGATGTGAAAAAATGTGTATCAGAGAATCAATGAAATAGGTATCTGATAAATGCTAAAACATAAGAAGACTGATCAGAAGTTATTCTATGAAATTCAAAGTGCTTAGGAAATATATTACTATTGCTAGAAATAGATTAAATGTAACACTGAAAAGTGAAAACGATTCATCACAATATTCTGCTGAATTTGTAATGTTCTAAAAATAAATTACTGTTCCTTTAAATTTTTCTGAATCCCCCTCCAAAAAATGACCAATTCATAACATACTTGTTTTCTTTATTCCTTCTTTCCAAGGCACTTTAGGTCTCCAACCTAAGCCATGTATTTTTTCTGACTTCATTGGATATCTCATGTCATTGGTAGGTCTTGGAAAACAAAAGATTTAAAATGACATTGTGGATACACATTTACAAATTTAAATACTAAGAGAAATAATACATGTCTATGCATCTTTACCATAATTCAAATTTTTTCTTAAAAAATCTTCCCTGATGACATGCTTATTGTAAAGAATTTGTAAAATAAGGTATATATTTAAAAAAATCATCTATAACCCCAGAAGCCTAACCTTCTCTGTAGTTCATCCCTTTCTTATTTCAGCCACAATCTAGGTATGAATACAGTGCCTCATACCTAAATGTTTGACCAATGAATAAATAAATACACATAAACTTATTAGGACTCTCATGTTTCCCACCCTAGATCGGGTACTTTATATAAATTACAATTAAACCTTACATACTTTTGTGAGCAAGGTATTCTTTTCCCTATTTCACATTGGAGGAAATCTCAGACTTGGAAAGAGCCAATAACTTTAAGTCACACAGCTAGTTAGTAATAATGTTGCACTTTATTCTGATGACATTTATCATTAGGAAAAAATATTTTAGCAGAAAACTCAAAAGAGATAAACTAGTTTCTGGTTAAGTCCATGTATTTTATAATTTTGTAAGTACCTAAGATTTCACAACCTTTCCCCCATGTTTTAACTTGTTACTCACCTATCATTAACATAATCGACCCAGTTTTCCATTTCAGACTCTGAACTGGTGTCTTTGATCTGTCAAAATGGAGAAGGCTTTTGAGTCAAATTATAAAATGAGACCAGAGAATAACAATGGTATTCAATAGCTGATTCCAAAGACAAGAAAAACCACCTCCTCCATTTGGGGGAGACGGAGACAGCTAAAATGAACAGCATTTTAGTAACACTTTCTATACTTTATAACCTAAATTCCATCTGAAGCTCACAGAGAATACTCATTGTATAAACTATGGGAGAAAATAAATTTTTTTGGCTTTTGTTTATCATTCAGTGTGATTTATAATAAAAAACATAGATTTGGTCTTCATCCCTGTCCCTAGCACAGCGCTCCTAAAACCCTTGGAATTTCCCAATGAGACAGCAAGTTGTCTTTTGCTACTCATAACAAGCCCCTTTTACCACACCAGCATTTGTTAAGAAGTGATTTTTGGAAAGCCCCTAAGCATGTGAGGGCTAGTTGCCAGGGGAACCAACCATGTGATCCGAGGGACAGAACTCAGCCCCTTTCTCACCACCTCTAGGGAGAGAAGATGGACTGGAGGTTAAATTAATCACCAGTGGCCAATGACTTAATCAGTCATGCCTACTTAATGAAGTCTCCATAAAAACCCAAAAGGACGGGGTTTGGAGAACTTCCAGGCTGCTGAAAACATGGAGGTGCTGCGAGGGTGCATGGACACTCCACACCCCCTCCTTCATAGCTTGCCCTATGCGTCTGCTCCATCTGGCTGTTCCTGAGTTATATCCTTTGTAATAAACCAGTAGTCTAGAAAGTAAACTGTTTTCCTGAGTTCTGTGAGCCACTTGAGCAAAGTACCTCCAATTTATAGCCGGTTGGTCAGAAGCACAGGTGACAACCAGGTCTTGTGATTGGCATCTGAAGCAAGGGAGTCTTGTGGGACTGAGCCTTTAACCTGTGGGATCTGATGCTCTCTCTAGGAGGATAATATCAGAATTGAGTTAAATTGTAGGAGAGCCAGCTGGTGTCTGAGAAGTGCTTGGTGTGGAAAACCCACGTTTGGAGTACAGAGTATTCTGTGATTAGCGTAAATGAAAACAAAAGTTCTTCCATACACTCAGTCTCCCTTTCTACTGAGTCCTGTGATTTATAATTGATGTTCAGTAATACATACACACACCCATAACTATAATTATTTATATATCATTGTTCCTTGTCTAGACACACAATTTTATATTTGTGAAATTGAGGTATTTCTTATAACAGGTATATACATTTAATGTACTAGGATGTTTTTCCCTGAAAAGCTATTACTAAATGAGTGATACAGGTTCAAATAATGACGTATCTTAGTATACATAATTATGAATTTCATTTTTTACTTGTCCACTTTTCAATTGAGTAAACTGTAAATTGTTGATTTTGACTAAATCAGTGATTATTGCCACTAATTTAGTGACAATTTGGAAAACACGATCCTTTCACAATATATACATACCAGTTGTATTAGTTCTTTGGCAAGCTGGAGAACTGACATTTCAAAATTGGTTCCGATGTTATAAATTTCACCTGGTTTCCCCTTTTTGAGGACAGTGAGAAATGCTTCTACTACATCAGTAGCATAAAGGAAATTTCTTGTTTGAAGCCCTGATCCATGAATGCAGCTAAAAAGATGAGATGAAAGGGAATCATCAAGTGTAAAAAAGTAAGCTCTCCCAAACCAGAGTAAGGCAATGACTGGGTACAACTCCAGAGAAGCCAATTCTCATGGGGATCCTAGACATCTTTTACTGAAAACACAAATTCTTATGACTTTTCTAAATTTTATCCATAGTTCTTAAATGATCTCCAAACCTCCTGAGAGTACTCAATAGGAAAGTGGTAAACATAAGTGAATACTGAGAAATATTTATTCATCAATTTTATACCTTAAATTAATTTTGAAGAAATATCTACAGTTCTATGAATTAAACAAATCCTTTGAAAAAGTAAAATTACATAAAAATCGATGCCTTTGAGTTCTAGGATATATCATTTAAGAACTGAAATTATCTTAGAAAGTATATTATAAAGATGAATTACAGATTATAATTATTTAAAAATCTATTACACTGATTGTAGAAGGAATTCTTAAATTTGTTGGGACATTCAATTCTGTGGCCTCCAACTCTAAGACTTCATGATTTTCAAGACAGACTGTCACCAAATACTATCAACATACCATACAGGTACAAAGGTAAATAATGACATACCATTTCCTGTTGTGTTGTAGTAAAGATATAAATTTCGGAATAACCTAAAAGAATATTTAAATATCATTTCAGATTTTGGAAATACACTCAATATGAATCTGAACTCATCATAAGATTAAAAGATTATTATTGTTAAGAAATATACATATGGATAAACTCTAATTCTTCTTATCAGGAGTTCAAGAAAAAACCTATTATAATTTTGACAAGTAAAAACTCTAAGATAGCTTCCTATTTCACAAAAACAAGTTGCTAGATAAATATGAAAATAAAATGATACAAATAGTGGAAAAATTCAGAAGAAGTGTTCATGAACAGTTTGCTCTCATCAAAAAGCTCACTTCTGTGCTGATTTTCCAAGGGCAGGAATCATATCCTACTTATTTATCTGCTTTACAAATAGTACCTACTGAATAAGTGCTTGTAAAATTAATAAAAAGTAAATTCTAGTGCCATTGGATTCAAAGAAAATTTATGTTAAACAGAGTGAGATAAATACCTAAATTTAAAATAAACCTGTTAAAGACACTCCAGAAATTAAAGCAAGCAGATATTAATACCAGAGATCAAGATATGGCCCTTTCCTTTGGGAGAATAGATCAATGCACCCAGCTGGGAAGTGCAAAACACAGACTCTAATTTTAGGCAGAGAAAGCAATAGTTACTTAAAATTGGGTGTAATGATACATAACCAACTGCACAGGCATTTTCAGCCTTTTAACTGCATTTCCTGATTCGCTACTTGTACTACTTTCAGGAAGACACTCAGGCCTGCAACAATGAGGAGGAGTTGGAGAACAGTTAACGAGCTGACTGTAAGACAAATGTATGTACAAGCCTCCTGCATCCCTCTCTAACCACCTTTTATATTTCCGTTCATACTGACATTTCCTGACATACTGGTCTGACTGCTAACCAGGAGTCTGAACCACGTTACAGGAGTGACGGGAGTACTCAATAGTGCTTTAGAATCTTGCAAAGTATAAGGCATTTTCACATATATCATCTCACTGGATCCTTCAAAATCCTTTCTAAATATTATCATCACCCTTCAATTTAAAGATGAAGCTCAACGGCCTAAGGTCATGCCAGCCGGCATCAGGTTGAGACTTCAACTCAAAACCTGACGAGAGTTGCATGTGGCCTACGTAGCATTTATAATCATGTATAATTACAACATAAATTATTTTGGACAAATAACTGAAGACAGACTATTTTAAATAATGAGAAGTTACAATCACTAAAATACACTATGAATTCAGAAGTAAAATGTACCTTTTCTGGATACTGATGTGGTCCATAAACATTACTGCTTCTTGTGATGACAACTGGAAACTTAAAGAGCATTCAACATTAAAGTAATGGAAAAGTCCAAACATAATTCTCTAAAGATAAGCAGTTTTAAATATGGGTGCTTCTGGCTAAATAATTCAACACACCTTAAGGACAGAAGTGAACGGATTTTTTTCTAACGTAAGGGTCCTGAAAAGACAGCGGAGGATGGGATTCAGATAAAAGCAAAGGTTCCAAAAGGAAGAAGAGGAATATTCTCTTTACTGGGACCAGGGGAGGATGAATATAGATGGAGGCAGGTTTTTAAGTCTGATAGCAGAAAATTAAGGAAATTTCCACGTGATTCTTTCAGAGACTACCTCTAGGACTCTACGTTTGGTTAGATGCCGACCTTCAAGCTGGCTTTCTCTGTTGTACCAACACGTACAAATAAAAAGAGCTACTATGAAAGGGAAAAGGACCAACGCTACTGAAACACAAAAGGCAAGAGAGTCTGAAGTAATCTCTTGGCTTGCCTTTCCGACCTCGTCCCTAATAACGCCATGAGAAGATCAGGGGGAGCCAAAGGCAGGGATTCGAGTTGATAATTCATATCGGGTAAGGCTCCCACACCGACAATGTCAGAGCCCCAGGGCAAGTATGCCTCCCATTCATGAGGAGCCAAGAGGTGAACCACGCAGAGAGGAGCAGGCGGAAGGTCAGGGAATCTGCCCTCCCTCTGTCTTCCTTCACTCAGAGGGTTCCTGGGACTCAGGATATTCCAACAGGGCTTTTCACTATAGTGTTACACTCTACCTATTACTAAAGTAGGAAAAAAATATACACAAATTATTCCTTTAAATGATGAACTGAATAAGAAGAAGTAGGTCCTACTTAGTCTACACAATATAGGAAATCAGTTTATTTATTTATTTATTTATTTTTTAATAATTTTATTTATCTATTTTTCCCCCCAAAGCCCCAGTAGATAGTTGTATGCCACAGCTGCACATCCCTCTAGTTGCTGTATGTGGGACGCGGCCCGAGCATGGCCGGAGAAGAGGTGCGTCCATCAGTGCGCGCCCGGGATCCGAACCCGGGCCACCAGCAGCGGAGCGCGTGCACTTACCCACTAAGCCACGGGGCCGGGCCAAGGAAATCAGTTTTTTTAATTCCTTAATATATAACTTTTCTCAACCTATGTCTTCTACTCTAAAAAAGAAATGTTGCTAATGCTAACTTGGAGTGTTTTGTTTTGTTTTTATTTTTATTATTTTGTGAGGAAGATCAGCCCTGAGCTAACATCTGATGCCAATCCTCCTCTTTTTGCTGAGGAAGACTGGCCCTGGGCTAACATCGGTGCCCATCTTCCTCTACTTTATATGGGACGCCACCACAGCATGGCTTGACAAGCAGTGCATCAGTGCACGCTCGGGATCCGAACCCCGGGGCCGCCACAGCGGAGTGCGCACACTTAACCGCTATGCCACCAGGCCAGCCCCCAACTTGGAGTTTTTGTTGTTTTTTTTTTTTTTGGTATTTTTTTTTTATTGATGTTTTAATAGTTTATAACATTGTGAAATTTTGGGTTGTACATTTTTGTTTGTCCATCACCATATATATGTCTCCTTTCACCCCTTGTGCCCACCTCCTACCCTCATCCCCCATGGCCCCTGGTAACCACAATACAGTTTTCTCTGTCCATGTGTTGGTTTATATTCCACATAGGAGTGAGATCATACAGTGTTTGTCTTTCTCTTTCTGGCTTATTTCACTTAACATAATACCCTCCAGGCCCATCCATGTTGTTGCAAATGGGACGATTTTGTCTTTTTTTATGGCTGAGTAGTATAACTATATATATATACACCACATCTTCTTGATCCAATCATCAGTCAAGGGACACTTAGGTTGCTTCCACTTCTTGGCTATAGTGAATAATGCTGCAATGAACATAGGGGTGCATAAGCCTCTTTGGATTATTGATTTCAGGTTCGTTGGATAGATTTCCAGTAATGGGATAGCTGGATCATAGGGTATTTCTATTTTTAATTCTTTGAGGAATCTCCATACCGTTTTCCATAGAGGCTGCACCAGTTTGCATTCCCACCAGCTGTGTATGAGGGTTCCTGTTTCTCCACATCCTCTCCAACATTTGTTGCCTAACTTGGAGTTTTAACACCTAGGTCCAGAGAAAATTGACTCAAGAGTTTCTGAAATCAGTTCTTACCTTATATCGTTCCCAGTAAGATTGTACAAAACACTCAGCAGCTGCTTTAGACGACGCATAAGGATTTGTAGGTTGTTTGGGTGAAGATTCATCAAATTCCTAATTTTAAAAAGATATATATTTAAAAAATAAGTGTTATGCATACTTTCTAAGAAGAAAAATTAGAAAACATATTACAAACTTGAAACGTTAATCACTACATTTAAAAAAACATTTATTGAACCCCAACTATGTGTCTGCCATTTTTCTAAGACCTTTCTATGTAGTAACTTCTTTAAAGTTGACAACAACCCTGTAAGGCAGGCAGAGAGAACAGCAAGCGCAAAGGCCCTGACACAGAAGTGTGTCCAAAGGAACTATAAGGAGGTTCGTGTGAGGGAAGAGAAATAGGAGATGAGGTTGGAGAGCTAGAGGGAGGCCAGAACATGTGGACCCTTGAAGGCCACTGTAAAAACATTAACAGGTTTTGGGCAGAGTAATGCCATGATCTGACTTATGTTTTAAAAATCATTCTGGCTACTGTGTCAGATCTGATGTAGGGTGACAAGGGTACAAGAAGAAAAGTCTACCTCATAAAAGTTGCAAAGACAGTTGAAAGTGGTTACTTCTTAGAAGTGGGACTGGGGATTGAGGACAAGTGGTCAGGGTCTGCATTTTCTCATTATAAGTTTTTTGAAACTACTAGATTTTTTTTGCTATGTACATGTGGTAAAAATAAAAAAATAAAACAAAACAGAATGAGGTCACTGCAAACATTGACTATAAAAAATACCGACCAGAAGAGAAGAGATTCCAGTTTCTACAATAATTTCACACTCACTCTGACATTCCAATTTGCTTTCTGAGGGGAAGAGAAAGGTGAGCAGACAGCAAGTATGTGGCAGCCTATCTTACATATGCTTTGGCCCACAGGAATGACATTCATCATGTAAGACTGGGACAAAAAGCTGAGATCAGCTGCTCTCTTACAAAATAGTGTCAGTCAAATTACATATAAATCTGTGCCGGGACTAGGTTATTGTTGCCAATGGGTGGCATTATTTGATCTGAACAGGAGATACAATGGAATAACATTTGGAGAGTCCCAGAAGTTGTATAATCAGAGGATGAAAAAAGCCCAGAGTAGGTTTTAATAAGACAGATGTGTATGGTGATCCATGGTAAGCAGGTGCAATACACATTTGCTAGGCTTACCTTATCAAGACTGCCTCCATAGACTTCATCTGTGCTGACGTAAATAAACTTCTCCACTCTGGCTTCATGAGCTGCACTTACCAAAACGTGAGTGCCGTAAACATTAACATATGTAAACTCAAAGGCCCGTACAAATGAAAGATCTAAAAAGAGAGAAAAAGCTAGAACAATCCCACCCAAGGGACAAAACAAATACCAAGCAATAGACTCAGGTTCAAAGAGTAACAATGATTTCTAGTGGAACTGAAAAAACAAGACAGACTTCAAATTCTGAAAAAAAAACAGAGTTGAGAATAGATACGTGGAGTTACGTGTCTAAAGTCTTTGTGTTATTTGAGAGGAGGGCAAAGGTTTCGATGGACTTTAGTCTTTGATAAGCTAATTACACATGTAATTTCCAGGGTAACCACTCAAAGAACACAAACAGAATATATAACAACCAACTAGTAGAGGAAGAAAATAGAATAAAAAAAAAAGTTGCTCAGTCAAGTCCTTAAAAAAGCAAGCAAGAATTTTTCTTAAAAGGATTTTGAAAAAAGGCAAGGAAGGGTAGGCCCCGTGGCTTAGCAGTTGAGTGCGTGCGCTCCGCTGCTGGCGGCCCGGGTTCAGATCCCGGGCGTGCACGGACGCACCGCTTCTCCGGCCATGCTGAGGCCGCATCCCACATACAGCAACTAGAAGGATGTGCAGCTATGACATACAACTATCTACTGGGGCTTTGGGACAAAAAATAAATAAATAAAAAAGGCAAGGAAGAATTTTTTTAAAAAGAACTAAAAAACAAACAAGCAAAGACACAGAACAGGTGAGAAAAATAGAAAGCATATAATAAGATGGTAGAAATAAATCCAAATATATCAACAAACTAAATGCTCAGGGTAAATATCAAGGATGGTCGGACTGGATTGAAAAAACAAAATCCAAACACAAATTGTTTATAAGACATACAGCTAAACCATAAAGCCAGAGAAAGGTTGGAAATAAAAGGATGGAAAAAGACATATCATGAAAATAATAACTAAAAGGAAGGTGACACAGCTATATTAATTTCAAACAAAATTTACTTCAAGGCAGCACACATCACCAAGGAAGAAAGATCACTTTATAAGGATAAAAGGTTCAATTCAGCAAAAATATACAGGAGATTTGAAGGATATGATTAACCAATTTAACCTAATAGATATTTAAAGAGCAACATACCCACCGTTTACAGATTACACATTCTTTTCAATACACGTGTAATATTTACACAGAGTGACCATACACTGAGCCAAAAAGCAAGTTGAAGCACAAAGAACTGAAATCATACAACATGTTATCTAACCAATAAAATTAAGCTAGAAATCAATAACAAGAAAATCCACATGTTTGGAAATTAAGATATACACTTCTAAGGAATCCATGGATTGAAGAAGAAATCAAATCCTTAAAAAGATCATAAAAATAATGCACATGAAAACTTGTTATATTCAGATAAACCAGCATTTAAAAGTAAATTTATAGCCTAAAATGTAAATATTAGAGAAAAGCTCAAAATTAATAAGCTAAATGTTATGAAATATTATACAAAAAGGTAGGAAAAAAATAGAAAATAAACCCAAACAAAGTAGAAATAATGAATAATAAACCTAAGAGTAGAAATTCATTACGTAGAAAACAAGCATACAATAGAAAAGATCAACAAAGTCAAAGATAATTTTTTGGAACAACAAAAGGGTGGGAGGGTATCAAGAATTGGTGAATTTGCTGGTATCAAGAATTGTTACAAAGTTACAGTGATTAAGACAGTGTGGTAATGGCATAAGGACAAAGACCAACAGAACAGAACAGGAGCCCAGAAATACAAGCACACAGAAATGGGCACCTGAACTACAACAAAGGGGGCGAGGAGGAAAGGCCGAGTCTTTTCAATAAACTGTGTTGGGTAAACCTAATATTGATACATGGGAAAAATCTGAATGTACAAGGCAAAACAGTAACTTTCATGAAAAGCATGTAAGACTATCTCCATGACCTTGGAGGTAGGAAAAGAGTTCTTACACAGAACACAAAGAGCACTAACCCTAAAGGAAAAGGGTGATAAACTGGACTACACTGAAATGCACAACTTCAATTGATCAAAAGACAATTTAGAAACTGAAAAGGAAAATGAAAGATTGAAAAAAGGTAATAGCCAAAGGCTTGAATCCAGAATAGATAAAGGACTTATAAAAATCTGTAAGGAAAAAACTGACAACCCACCAGAAAACACAGAGACTTAAACAGAAACTTTCCAAAGAAGACAGACCAATAAGAAAGGCGAGAGGATAGTCCAATAAATAAATGCAAAGGTTTTTAACCTCATTAGTAATCACGGAAAAATAAAATAAAACCACCATAGACTGACAACAGCAAGTGTTCATGAGCATCTCATAAATTGCTGGAAGGAGTGTACAACTGCTTTATCATTTACCAAGTAGAAGGATTTGCTCTACCAGATATGAAAGTACTATATTAGTCAATATACTGTGTAACCAGCACAGGTATAGACAAAGAGACAAATGAAGAGTCAAGAAACAGACACTCATATAAGGATACTTGATATATGACAAGGCACAGGAAACTGGTGAACTTTTCCCTAATTGGTAGAGGTCCAATTGGTATTCAAATAGAAAAAAATGAAATTGAACTCCTACTTTATACTGCACATAAAAATCAATTTCAGATGGATTACAAATCAAAATGTGAAAGGCAAAACTATAAAGCTTTTCAAAGATAATACAGGAGAATATCTTCAGGACCTTGGGGCAAGAGAGAACTTTTTTTTTTTTATATAATATTTCTTTTTTTTCTTTTTTGAGGAAGATTGGCTCTGAGCTAACATCTGTTGCCGATCTTCCTCCTTTTTACATTTTCTCCCTGAAGCCCCAGTACACAGTTGTATATCCTAGTGGTAGGTCCTTCTAGTTCTTCTATATGGGATGCCGCCTCAGCATGGCTTGATGAGCAGTGAGCAGGTCTGCACCCAGGATGCAAACCAATGAACCCTGGGCCGCTGAAGTGGAATGCACAAACTGAACTGCTATGCCACCAGGCCAGCCCCAAGAGAGAACTTTTTAAGACCCAAAAAGCATTAACCATAACATAAAGGAAAAGATATATAACTTCAACTACATGAAAATTAAGAACATCTGTTCATCAAGACGCCCTAGAAAAAACATCAAAAGATAAGCCATGGAGTGGGAGAAGATAGGTATAATAATGTAACAAAGGACTAGTATCCAGAACATATATAAACTCCTACAAATCAATGATAAAAAGGAAAATAACCCAATTTAAAAATGGGCAAAAGATTTCAACAGCATTTCACAAAAGAAGAAATCTAAATTACCAATAAACATATAAAAGGTGCACAGCTTCACTTGTCATCAGGGAAGCAGAAATTAAAACCACAATGAGATACCACTACACACTACTCAGATTGCCAAAAATGAAAAACTAACCTTTGGTGAGATGTGGAGCAAAAGGAGGTCTCACACAGTCTTGGAAGAGTGGAAACTGGTATAATTACTTTGGGAAACAGCTGGACATTATCTCAATGCTGAAGTGTGCAGATCTTATGAATCTAGTTATACACTGAGAGAAAGGTGTACTTGTGTGTTCCAAGGTACATGTGTAAGAACATTCATGGTAGTATTGTTCAAAATTGCCCAAAAGTGTAAATAATCCACATGTCCATCAAGAGTAAAAGAGATACACAAATTGTGGTATATACTTAGAATGGAACATTGTATGTCACTGGAAATGAACAAATTGTACCTACAGCCAACTACAGGGAGGAATCTACATAAATGAAAAAGCAGTATCAATAAACCGACATGTTATTTTATATACACATTTTAATAAAATTTAAAAACAGGCAAAACTAATCTATACTATTTAGGGATAAATTCATAGACACTAAAACTGTAGACAAAACTAAGTGAAATTTTAATTTTAAAATCAGGTAATAAAGCAGTAGTAATACTATTATTAAAGAGGGTTCAGCAACATCCTATCTGTTGTTTAAGTGATAGCTACATGGATATTTACATTATCATTATTCATTTACCTTTACTTCTAAATTCTTCTGAATATATATTTCACAATATAAAATGTTAGACAAATTATTAGAAGATATTTCAGGTGTACAAAACAGTAACAGATGATAATGTAATGTTCAGGGCCGGCCCCGTGGCTTAGTGGTTAAGTGCGCACGCTCTGAACCAGGCGGCCCAGGTTCGGATCCAGGGCACGCACTGATGCACTGCTTGTCCAGCCACGCTGAGGCGGCGTCCCACATACAGCAACTAGAAGGATGTGCAACTATGACATACAACTATCTACTGGGGCTTTGGGGAGGAAAAGGAGGAGGATTGGCAATAGATGTTAGCTCAGGGCCGGTCTTTCTCAGCAAAAAGAGGAGGATTGGAATGGATGTTAGCTCAGGGCTGATCTCCCTCACACACACAAAAAATAAAAATGTAATGTTCAACTGTGCATCACCACCCAGCTTAAGACAAACACCATAAAAAACAAAGTTGAAGGCCTATTTCCCCAGAAGTAATCCCTAACCTGAATTTGGTTAAACTCAGAGTTTTAAGATAGCATTCAAGGTTACATTTCAACCTACACTAATAAAAGTGATCTGAAATGTGCCTAGTATCTTGATGACAGTGACCACAGGCTTGTTTTTCTGATAGAGCATGGTATCTACTCTTTCAAAGACATATATTAAGTACCTACTTGTTCAACCTCATTAATGTACTTTGATTTAGGCTACTTAGCCACTGGAAAAAAAAATTTTGCCCATCATAACTGTAATATAAAACAATGCTTACCTACATGTGTTTGCGCAGCAAAATGCAGTACTATATCTATTTTCTCTGTTTCAAAAAGCAGTTTCACAAAGTGAGAATCACATATGTCACCCTATATAAAAAAGCAAACATGAAAAAACGAAATTTCATTGAGTACTCCCATTCATAATAACCATTTTACTATATAAACAAAAAAAAGATAATAAAAAAATTAATTCTTCCCACCACCTTGGTTTAATAAATAGAGAATATCTTGAATATTCAACTGACAGGTCAAGAAAGTATAGTAGTGATGTATTTCTCCAGCATCCTAGGATATAAGATATTCAATTCAAAATATTTTTTTGCAAGTAAGTGTCTAAAACAACATTTTATTGAGCACCCACTACTATTAAGGACTGTGCTAGCTTTTTTCCTTAACATTCTTGCCAACCTAAGGTCATCGTGTTAATAAGAAATTTTTAAACATATTTTTAAAAGTTTGAAATAACCGTTATCGAAGTATATTGAAAGTAAGTAACAACTGGAATGACATTTTGAAAAACGTATTTAACCACAACTAAGCACACTTATGAGTACTTTTGATGTTATATGTACAGTTAGTTCTTCTAAAAATATGTATTCTCAACAATTCTTTGGTGTCTGAAGGAAACACTTTCACATAGAAGAACAGAATTATGAAATGTTTGCTCAGTATATTCTTTAACATTTCTGGTTAAAAAAAGAATTTATAGGGCCGGCCCCATGGCCTAGTGGTTAGGTTCAGCACACTTCACTTTGGTGGCCTGAGTTCACAAGTTCGGATCCCAGGCATGGACTTACACCACTTGTCAGCCATGCTATAGCAGTGACCCATATATAAAATAGAGGAAGACTGGCATAGATGTTAGCTTAAGGTGAATCTTCCTCAAGCAAAACAAAAAGAGGAAGACTGGCAACAGATGTTAGCTCAGGGCTAATCTTCCTCAGCAAAAAAAAAAAAAAAGAAAGAAAAAGAAAAAGAGAGAGAATTTACAGAATCACTAAAAAAAACATAAATCATAAGACAAACAGTTTCATTTGACATTAAAATTTCCCTTTGCAAATTAATGGCCTGGCTCTCTGGTTCATACTTTGGACTCTTCTAAGAGTGGCTAGTAAGAATCAGCCTTCCAGAGCCAATCAATCAACCTTCATGGGAGAAGACTATCCCATGGGCTGTGTGGTGGGCTTTTTGGCTGTTGGCTGGACTGAGTAAAACCTGGCCTTATATCAATCTCTTTAAATCCCAGAAAAGCCTTATTAAGAAGGCTAGTGAAGCCCTAAAAGTCACAAACCATGTAAGTTCAATCAGCTACTCATAGATCTGCCAAGGCACCAAAAATCAAATGTAGCTTTATATGTGGTGTCAATCCAAAAGTTGTATTCTCTATAGCACACGGTACTTCTGGAAATTAAAAAGGCTTTCATAAGTGTGCCTTCCAAGCCCATATTACACAAGTTTGTAATCCCATATTGTAAACCCATATTACACAAGTCTGTAAAGTAGAAAGATAAAATGTCTGAATGACTAAAGAAGCACCGTATAATAACTATATAATTACAAGAAAACTTTCATACCTGTATAAATTTGTAGTTCTGTTTGTTAGAAATTGTTTCAAGATTCTTCAAGCTTGCACAGTAATCCAGCTTAAAACAAGTGGGGGGGGTGGAGAAACAACACAAAAAGTGATAATGGCTTTTCCTATAAAAATATCAATTTATTTTAAAGACTATAGATGTTCTGATTATAATACAAGAACATGTCTTCTTAAAGTGTTTGCTCTTTGTATTTTTAGAAATTTCTGACATCTTAAAAGTAAAGAAGAAAAAACATGTAATTTTATTACCTTTCCAAAATACAAAAAAATTACTTTTTATAAATCTGTTCTTTAAACATTTTTCTTGTCCAGATTTGCCTCCAGCCACTGGTGGCTAGAAAAGTTTACCACTCCTTACCGACAAGAAATTAGTGATTAAAACAATTATACCTGTGTTACACATATTGTAAGTCATTACACTTTTTCCTGAGTTAACTGTTGGTAAGTTGGTGTACAGATGGGGTGAAAAATTACTGTCTATGATGGTAAGGCAGGCAAAAATTCATAAGACTTACAGATTATTCTTTGTCTACACATTTTTATTATTATGTTTTATGAAATTAAGGTTAACTAATTGCATCTTGTGTTTAAAGTCAAAAATCCAGTGATGACCAATCACGGCTTTCAGACTCTGCAGGGAGACTCCAATCATTACAGAAAAATTCTCAAAACTCTAGTAACTTAACTGCATCTTAATTTAAAAAATAAATATATTTAAATATAATTTAAAAAATAAATATATAAAAAAAATAAACTGTCGTGCTGCATAACGTCATTTTGGTTAACGATGGACCACATATATGACAGTGGTCCCATAAGATTAGTACCATATAACCTAGGTGTGCAGTAGGTAATACCACCTAGGTTTGCGAAAGTACACTCTAAGATGTTTGCATAACGACGAAATTGCCTAATGAGGCATTTCTCAGAACGTATCCCTTTTGTGAAGCAGTGCATAACTGTATAATTTTCCAGGAGGTGGCAGTTATAAAATTAAATAATAAAACCATAATCAAATAATCAGAGTATCCCAACTCCAAAAAAGATTAATAATCACAAGATCACACTAAATATTGAATTTAGGATGAAGATTTTCTTTTGGTAAAAATACTGCACTAAAACCTTTACTTTATGGGCTACCAAAATAAATGAAAAAGTTTCAAAAGACTTTATGTAAGACTAAATACAGCAAGAACATGACTATATAGGCCCCTAAGTTGCTAAAATGACTAAATAAAAAACTAAAATATCAGCATAACAGGATTCTAATATTTTTTAAAAATATAAATAAGTTTCAGTACTTAAAGCTCATTTTTATAAAACTCACCTTGTCTAGATTTATGATCATATAATTTGGATAATCTTCTACTAAAGAGACAATCATATGTGATGCACTATAAGAAAAAAGTGTATCTTGTTAGCAGAAAATTTAACCTTTTCCCTAAATTCTTGAATGTTACCCTAAGCTGTCGATTGTTAGGAAACTATTCAAAGATACCTTTAAATTTCTCCAAGACAACAGAAATAATATATCTACACTGAATATACACACACCCACACTTTTCACTAACCTTCTCAACAGTATCAACATACAAAGTCTTATACTCCTTTTATACTATGTAGAACAGAGAATTCACTGGTCCTGGGTATAAGAAAAAAATTAGTTTAAGCAAATGATGCTGTCCCTGGATGCTCTGAGTGTGGGAGGAAAGGAGGATGATAAACACAATGAGCAATGGTTAGTGCAAATGGATTGAAACTATAATGAGCCTTTTTGGTGACAGTAGGCATAATTACGTAAAAATAAAGTTAGTATGAGCATATTGAGTTGTCTATGTTCACAGTAACCCTGCTGCAGTTTATCTCTTGGCACAAGGATTTGGTGTAAACCAGAATCCTCTGGGGGACGAGATGGGGTAGCAGTGTCCTAGACTAAACCTAGGTTTCCAAGGCTAATGATGGCTGAAACTATCCTGAGCTGGATACCCATAGTGGCTCCTGGGTTTCAGAGGACCCTGAAGTGCAACCAGAGGCATATCTCAACGAGACAATGCACCAGATTTTATCATATACACCAAACCGTTGGGCTCCCAGGAACAAGAGCAGCCCCTGACCAAAGTTAGGAACTGAAACTTTGTACCTGGCAGCCCTTTCAAAGCAATTTCTAGGATGTACTCTTCCTGGACCAGCACTCTCACACTAGTACCACCCTTTATATGCCCATGCTCCTCTTCTCATAAGTGAATCTTGCCTGCCTGGTACCCTCCTCCAAGTCACTGTCAGATTAGAAGAGGTGATTTAATGTGCTAATGGGCCAGGGGGATAAAAAGATCCCATGTTCCTCTTCTTCCACTAGACACTGGGATAATTTCCTGTTTGTACTCATGAATTCATCCGTTCAGCAATTACTGAAGACCTTTATAAAATAAGCCAGGCATTCTCCCAGGTGCTGAGTGAACAACAGTCTGCCCTCAACCACTTTACATTCCAGAGTGGGGAAGCAGGCAATAAGCAAGTGAACACAAATACAATAACAATTTCAAGGCAGCTGAAATTAATTTCAGCAATATAATTTCCATAAAGGCAATATAATTTCAGGTAGTGATAACTGTGTTAGTTGGCGGAGGAGCTATTTTCGATAGGGTGGTCAGGTAAGGCCTCTCTGATGAGGCGATGTCTGAGTAAACGTCCGAACTGAGTGACGCAAACAGCCTAAGCAAAGGGGAAGCAAGTGCAGAGGCCTCAAGACAGGAGCAACGAGCTCGTGTGCTCCAGGAACTGCAAGGGTTACGGTAAGTGTGGCAGGCACTCAGCCGCAGATCAGGTCGGAAAACAGGGCTTGGGCACTTGAGTCTTGTAGATACGGTAAGGAGTTTGGATTTTATTCTCAGCCTGACAGGAACCATTGGAGTAAAACTCTATGAGCTGATTTACTTAATAAACAACACCGACTTCTGTGTGAGGAACAGACTTTAAGGGAACCAGAGGGGCAGCAGTGTGACCAATCGGGAGGCTACAGAAGCAGTCTAGGCAAAAGAAGACAGTGACATGGGCTAGGACGGAAGGGGGAGGGGGTGAGAAGTGTTCGCCTTGACGATAGACTTTGGCAGTAGTGAGAGGACTTGCTGACTGAATGTGGGTGAGAGGGCAAGAGGCATCAAACGTTTAGTACAGGTCAAAGCACCAAGAAAGGATTTTTTAAAGTCTGCTAAATAAATGAATGCCCTAAGTCGTTTTTTGGCGCCTATATGTACAAGGTTTGAATATGGGGGCGGGGGGAGTTGGTGAGAAGCAATGTGGGCGCACTCAGAAGAGTGACAAGTGCATCTCGGGCCAGGTAGGACAGCAGTTTTGCTTTGGGAGGGAGGCGTTTTAAAGAAGCCGCAGTTTCAAAGGAACCACGTCTTTGCAGGCCGGGGAGGAGAGAGAAGGTAGAATGATCTCGGTCGTGCTTCAAGACCCTCTCCATATCAGACCCCCAAAGTTGGTCCCAAGTTGCCAAGGGCAAGCAGAGCCGCAGGAAAGGGTTGAGGTTTATGGGGAGCCACGGCTCGGCCAGTGGCGCCGTTACCTACATGAAACCAGCACCCCCGGTCACCAGGACCCGCTTGGCAAAGCTCCTGGAAGGACCCCAGGGCTCCGCCTGGAACGCAGTCGACATCTCCCGGCTCAGCAATGCCTGGCACCGTAAAGCGCCAGGTCTGTAGGCCGTAGGGAAGGTCCACCGCGACTTTTTGCGACGCGTCTTGCTCCCCCGACACGTCAACGAGGCAGGCAGCAGCCGCTTCCGGAGCGTGGACGATTTGTCCCCGCCCACTGGCGGGGAGGTGCGGTCCTCGGGTGCGCGGGCAGCGCAGCGCCACTGCGCAGGCGCAGTTCTTCTCTGCTACTGCCTGGCGGGCTAGGAGCTCTTGGGGTGTCTGGGAAAGTGGGGTCTGAGACGTTTTCGGAGCAAGTGTCACCAGCATGAATTAGGCTTTTCTTAGATACACAGATAGTCGGAGTTATGCACGATTACCTTCCTGTGATCCTTGTACTATAGCCATCTCCACAGATTACCCACCAGTTGAGCTGAGGACTCCTGGCGAGTTCCCTTGCAAACTGTAGAGATGGGAGGTTGGAACTGCAAAATGACCTTTTACTGCTGTTGTTAATATCATTATTAGAGACAGCACAGGCTGCTTGCAATCATGGTAAAGATGTTCTCTAGATCCTACCCTTACATCTTTTCCTACTACTCCTCTTGCACACTCTGCCCCAGCCTCCCTGTCCTCCTTGCTCTTCCTTGAATTCGCCTGGCATGCCATTTCCTTTAGGCCTGGATGCCCTTCCCCAGATATCTGCCTAGTTTTTACCCTTACTTCTTCAGTTTTCAGCTTGAATATCACCCAGTCCTTCCTTGACCACCCCAATTAAAATATCAAACTCTACCCTAGCCCTGCCAAACCACTTTACCCCTCTTTATTTTTCTCCATAGCAGTCATCAACATTTATGTTGAATAGTTCATTGTCACTGCTCCATGAGGGCAAGAATGTACCAACATGGAATAAGGACCAAAATATATTATAGTGGATACTTACCATTTTATCTGACCAGACTCTCCCACCCTTTATGATCTCCCGAAGTTGACCCACCCTAGGCAGTCCACACTGTGGACATCTGACTCACCCTAAACAAATTGAAGCCTCTTCCTGGGATTTGGAATTGGACTAAGGTTCTAACATAGTCTAGCTGCTCTCATTGAACTCTGAAGACCTACAAACTTGAGACTTGGTGGCCATATTCCATACGGGTAGGGAAAAGAGGAAATGAGTACTTACATTTTTACTTCATATACTTTTGACTGTGAATTTTTTTCAAAGCCGCATGAATTACTTTTATAATTATTATTATTTTTAAATATACAAACTCTTATTTCTTTATAATTTTATTTATTTTTTAATTTTTCTTCCCCCAAAGCCCCAGTAGATAGTTGTACGTCATAGTTTCACATCCTTCTAGTTGCTGTATGTGGGACGCGGCCTCAGCACGGCCGGAGAAGCGGTGCGTCGGTGCGTGCCTGGGATCCGAACCCGTGCCGCCAGCAGAGGAGCGCACACACTTAACCACTAAGCCACGGGGCCGGCCCTACTTTTATAATTAAAAAATAATGCAATTTAAAAAACTCATCATATTAATATCTCCAGTTTATTATTGGTCTGCCAGAGATACTGAAAATGCTGGCTATATGATAGGAAGTCTTCCCTCAAGATTTCTTTTTCTAAATCGTGAGATCGGTTGTGAGAACTTGCTTATATGTAATAACAGCTGGTCGTTGAATGAAAATAATTTATATACATTTATTCATGAAATAATTTTGATCTTCTACTCTCATCAAGACAGACGTAGTCTCTGACCAGCTGGAGCTTACAATACAGTGGTGGATTCAGATAAATCAATAGACATTTACAATACAGAATGGTAAAGTGCCAGGGTAGGGAAGCAAGGGATTTCGGTTCCAGGGTATCTAACACAGACTTGGGGGTTTGAGAAAGGCTTCTTAAAGTGCCTTGGGAAAGAAGAGTAAAGCAGAGGAAGGAAAGTGTTGGGAAGGTTGAGTGGTAGAATAAGCAAAGTATTCCAGCCAGAGGGAATCTGCAAGTGATCTACGCCCAGAGGGGAGAACTTGGAGTTTTCAGCGAACCGACAAGGGCTGAGGACTTGAAAGCCTTATTTTAAAGAGTTTGGGTTGTGTACTAAAGGCAATCGAGAGTCTTTGAAGGAAAGTGATGCAGTCAAATTGCATTTCCCAAAGCTTTCTGTGACTCTAGGGTAGAGATGGGCTGTGTGTAGCCAACTGGAGACAATTAAGACCCGAGGCAAGTCAGTTGCTATAGGCCAAGTAAGAACATGATACCATCATGGCCCAGATAGGATAGTGGCGGCTGCTTCCTATCATCACCGCCCAGGAGAGCCCCTAATAAACATGTTTCATTGAATTGATTGCATGTAGGGGTGTAAGGGGTGGGGGTCGCTATAATTCACAGCCGACTGGCCTACTGGATGATGACTTGATTCAAGACAGTTAACCTAGGAGGGAAAAGTCGGTTGGAGGTGCCAAAAGATGTCATGCACTAAACTGTGGACATGTACAGTTAAGTGTCTTAGAAACAAACTGCAAACGTCCAGTGGGTTACATAGGCATCTATGGCTTTCCGGGAGTTTTCCTTTCTTCGCCAGAAATGCTGCTGTCGTGTGATTCTAAGTTCTTTCCGAATCCCACACGCCCCTTGAAAGCCCTACAGGCCCGCGTCGGCGCTCCCGCGCATGCGCAGTAGCACCACGCGCTGGGACAACGAGAGGAATAATTTTTCCGTAACTGAAGCAACATCCTCCCGATTCTCCATAAAAAAGGCGGGAACTAGCCAACAGGCTGGCGAGTGATGGGACGCGCCCATCTGCACGTCCCGCCCACTTCAGCCTCTGATTGGTGGATATCCTTGGCCCGTGGCGGAAGGGCCCACCCCATTGGCTGTGAGTCTCCGGGGGCGGGTCCGCGACGACGCCGGTCCCGCTCCCTCCTCCTCCCTCCACCCGCAGCTGCCGACGTGGGGCCGCCAGCCGCAGGCTGTTAGGGGACGGGGTGTGGGTACCGAGCGGGAGGCGGGGATGGGGGGTCTGCGGCTGCTGGCCGTGGCCCTCACCTGCTGCTGGTGGCCGCCGGGCAGCCAGGGTAAGACCCTGCGGGGCAGTTTCAGTAGCGCCGCGGCCCGAGACGCTCAGGGCCAGAGCATCGGCCACTTCGAGTTCCACGGTAGGTGCGGGGGCGGCGGGAGGGATGGAGCGCGTGGGCCCGTCCCGCGGGCCGCGCCTCCCCGCCTCGCGTGGGGAGCCCTGGAGCCGGCGGCGGCGGGGCCGGGACTTCACCCAGCTCACCGGGACTTGCAGCGTCGCCGGCAGCCCTCCCCCCACCGCAGCTCCCCGGAATCGCGGGGTGCGTGTATGGCCAGCCCCACTACTGCTGCTCCCCACACCGTCGTCAGCACCCTCCCCCGATTAGTGATTGTATGCTGCGCCTGAAGCATCATTTCCCCAGCCCTCCCCATGCAAACGAATGTACACATGTCGCCTGCTGCATCTTTCGAGATCCTTCCGTCAAAGGAGCATCCTTTACTCACTCTTCGTCTCAGCCTCTTATATACACTAAGGCACTGTAGTGACGTGTGGATTTAAGCTTCAGAACTTAGCTTTCCTGGGGTTTGCTTTTGTTTTTAAGATCAATTTGATAAAACCTACTTGCAGCAGAGAGGTTTTGGAAAACAAATAAAACCAAATTTAACCGAATTTTATAATAATCTTGTTGTACAACAGTTAGGTTTCTCTGCTACTAGACGAGTAGCTTTGCTATGAACCATGAGGCCTAGGATTAACTTGACAGAAATGCGTGTAAGTGTGTCCTGGAAGCTTCATGATGTGTGTCCTGTCTGGCCCTTCTGAAATCAGAACTGCATTTGATTGTTACCTTCTGGTCTCCCTTAAAAATCAGTAATTCTTTAGTGAATGAATTTGCAATTCATTCTAATTTTTTAGTTTACTTGCACCCTCAAAATTAAGTGTTTTTCTTGGTACTCTTAATTTAACTAGTACTATATTTCAAATAATTATTTGCCTTGATAAGGTTAGAATCCTTGGTTCATACAGTCTTTAGCATTAAAAGATGCACGATCAGACTATTGTCCTAGAGAGAATTCTTTGGAGAAGATAATAGAAATGAGAACCTATTTTGGTTTCGGAAAGGAATTTATTAGGAAATTACAGAATTGGTGGTATGAAGGGAGAGGAACCAAATTTCTTTTTTTTTAATCTGAAGTTTTTTAAATAGCTGAGAAAAGGAGATGCAACCCAGTATTCTAAAATCCAATGTGGAACAGACTTTGGGTGAATGAAGAAGAAACTGTAGGAACAGAGTCTTATTATTTTTTAGGTAACATTTTCAGTTTCTTAATCAACTAGGTGTAACTATACTTTGAGTATCGACAGTGATAGTAATGTCACTACAATAAATGGCACAATCTGGACAATGCTGGAAAATCGGGAATGTATGGAAGCTGTGACATGGGTTATTACTCATGACTAGCAGAGAGACTTAGATAACTCCAACATTTCATGAGAATTACCTGGTAAACATAGAGAAGAAATATATGTAGTAAATCCAGATTTCTCAAGAAAGATTGAGGAATAGTGTTCCAAGTATTTTAACTCCCTTTCTCTTTCTCTCTCTCTCTCTCTGTATATGTATATATAATTACTATTACCAATTTTCAGTGAATTCGAATTCAGTAAAATAATAATACTAAAACTATACTGAAAGATTGAACTCTAATGCAGAATGCAATTTAATAGGGCCTTAAAGTTACTTTTAAGACTTTTGATAATTTATAATGTAATCAATTTATGTGGGAGACTTAGACATTCTTTCATACATACTATACATTTAAATTTATTTAAAATGTTTAGTCAAAGTGATAATTACAATAACAAAAGTAAAAGCAACGACAGGAGAATAGAAGATCTTAAAATGACAAATGAAAAACCAGTCTCCTGCTTCACTTCTCCTCAGTCAGAGTCCATTTCCATAGAGGCAGCTGTTTTTTGCCTTTTCTGTTCTGAGCCTTAAATGTAGTTGGTGTGTGCAACCAGGCTCTTTCTATAGTAGTCTTACAACATGTATTGTTCTGAAAAGTTCCTTTGTAAAAGTCACAGCTGTCAAATTTTGTGTCAAGTGTAAAATGTCTACCCCAAAATGT